CAACAAACGTTACAACCAAGAGCTAGGCAGAGTAGGTTGTTTAACTATAAGCCATCTCTTGCTTATGTGAAAATATTTCACACTCTGTCATAAATATTTTTGCCTTGCATTGCTTCTTCTGAGGACTACAGTTGCAGTAATATTGCCTGAATTCAGAGATACTGTTCCCTGGAGTCTTAACCTTTTATGAAAAGCAACCTGTGGGTTCAATGGGACAGGTAACAGATGTCTGCAATCTGGTCTCTCTGTGGGGCCAGTGTCATCTTTTTAAGTGTTTTCAGCTCGGTCACAACCAGGAAGGGAGGAGAGGTTGAAGGAAAGAGACTGAAATGTATGCAATTCAAAGTTAGGAATTTTGTGTTGATGATTAGTATATTCACTGCAAATATGCAGTTGTGATTCAACCCAGGAGACTCCATCACTTAAACTGAAAAACTGGAAGAATAATAAAAATATCAAAATAGTTTTGTTCTATTCAAAATGAAACATTTTGACTTTTCAATTCAAAGCTAAAATAAGTCAACTTTAAATCAAAGGCTAAGCACATCTGAGAGTGGAGCATTTTATTCACCCCATGACAAATGATTTTACGTTTAATCTGAGGTTGCCTTGTGCAAAAAAAAGGAGAAAGTTTACACTGATATTTTTTAATCTCAGTCCCCAAACTGGAACTAGTACTTGCTTTCAACAGCAAGTGATTTGGGGAATCTCCAATATTCAAGTGGAATAACTGTGTTCTGGTTTCTTTTTGCCAGGCTGGATTAGAAATCTTTTATGATAAAACTTTTGGATGCAGTAATAGCGTTTGCATGTCAGGATTTTTTTTTTTTTTTTGAGGTCAGCCAAGTACTATGATAACTATATTGCATAGTGCAGTACTCAAGTTGGGACATGTGGAAGAACTTGGTAAAGATTCATTTACCTGCCATTTCTCCCACCTTTTCTTTCTGTGGCCTTTCCAGATTAAACCAGAGTCACATACCATGTAGGTTAAAACGAAAACATAACTTCCTTCACTCATATTCATTAGAAGACCACTTATTCTCCTGGAGAATACTTGTACAAAGTAAACCAGAACTTTCTATTACTTAAAAATTTCCTTAGAGATTAAGTCCATAGGTATCGGCACAAAATAAAAGCCTAATTAAGCAAGTTGAGAGGGAATCTCAAAAGTACATGGTCAGGAACATGATGCAAATTGAGTTTTTAGGAATAGGAACTTTTTCTGCTTTAGGATTTCTTCAGAAACGATGAAAATAGATTGATGTTTGAAAACCTCAAAGATGATGTACTTAAGACTGTAAATGCAATTTATAAATCCTACTTTAGTTTATTGAGACAAAGAAATATCTTTTATGCTACTGGGTGCCACAGAATCATATTAGTATGCCCAATTTAACAGAATATTATTTTAGAATAGTTAATATCAACTTGAATTATATTTTTCTTGAATGTATTCTTTGTTTCCCTGTGTATATTCCAGTCACATAACTCATACATCTGTTATTCCCAGCATCAAGTCTATGATGTTTACACAGATCTCCCTGCAGGGCATTTTGGCCTAACTGAATCGTTATTTCAACAGTATGTCCTAGTTTAATGATACTGTTACTTGAAATGCTGTCTTTTGCAAGTTTTCTCCCCCCTGGGGTTAACTCAGCCCTTCCACACTGAAATCAGAATATCTGACCCTACTCTTAAGCAGTAGATGCTGGGAAGTGAACTCTGCTTTCTCGAGCACAGGGTTCTCAGCACTTCAGACCTGTAGAGCGGGTAGTGACAGCTGAGTCTCTGGGTTTTATGAACACATTTAAATCTTAATGCAATGTCAGTACTGGTTTCTGATAATGTGTGCTAATGATGATAAGATACGATTACTTAAAATGGCATATTAGGATTCATTCTTTTGACAGAGGTGGGGATGCTACTGATGCTACTGTGTTCTCACTTCCATTCTTTTCTATTTGACCATCATCAGAAGAAAAATTCTTCTCCTGTGGATCCATTTTTAGGAACAAGTAATGAATATTTTAAAATCTCTGTTAGACATTTATGCTGAGCCTTATTTGGAAAACAATATGGAGCCATTCCATATTGCAGCTTACAAGTATAACATTTTCAAGTGATTAAGGCATGTATTAAGCGTTTTTCAGTGAGATTTAAGCTTCTGAACGCGGAAGACCCTTTTGATAAAGGGGCTTGTTTTCAATTTAATAAGAATCTGGAAAAAGAGGTGCTTCATTGAAAAGAAATGTCACAAGGTAGCTGCTAAGTGATTTGAAGACTTAAGAAAAAACAGATAATGTGAATTTTTAATTCATGAGTATTTACACATACTTAATCTTAGATTTTCCAAAGACCTAAACATCTAACTGTCCCACACCTTTATTTCTTTCTTACTAAGCCTTTGTGTCCAAGTTTCAAAATATGCCATAGTTCCTAATAAATAGTCACCTACTTCCAAAACATTCTACAATATTGGCTCATAGTCATTAAAAAGTCCTTCTAAGCCTTGTGATATGCCCTCATCTTCATTTTGAGAAGGTAAACAAGTGCAGAAAGATTCTGCTTTCACCCACAAGTACAAGGTGTCAGGAGTTTCCTTATTGGTACGCTCTATTTACACCTGAAACTTGGGATCAGAGTGTCAAGGAATGTTCTTAGGTATCTCAGGATCATTACCAGGATTTAAAGCAAAAGATTCTCCAACCCCAAACTTAACCTAACCTATTTCAGTGATGCAAATACACCACCCTTGGGTTTCAAAAGACTTCTGCACACAGTATAAACTTAAAGTTTCCCTTCAGTGAGGTAACTTTTTACACGTTCATTTGCAGAATAGAATCTCAGCGCAAGGACCTGCTTTACAAAACTGAATGATAGCTGTGGGAGCTCAAAACCTTGGAAAATCGCGCAAGAGAAAACTAACATAAAACCACAAAAGAATTACTTTTTTAAATCACGAGAGATATCCACATGTGACAATGTAGGATTTTCAAATGAGTAAGTGTTATTAACTATGGAACCCACTATGAATCGGACTTGAGCTGGACTTGCTGATCCTAAATCATTTAGATTGCACAGAACACTCCACACTCTAGGGAATTAAGTCTTGTGGTTTAGCAGACATCTAAATAAGGGTTTTATTTTCACACACTGCAGGAAAAGGCTGCTGCAACATATTATGGAGTGTTGTCACATGCAAATAACTGCTAGTGGAACAAACTATTTGTGAGCTAACATAATTTGGAAAATTCTATTCAACAAAAATAGAAATCCACATTTTTTTTCTCAGTACACAAAAGAAACATTTTAAAACATCAGTCTCTATTACAATACTTTGCTCAAGTCTTTACATTTTTTTTAGAAATGCATAATATTTCTGAATAGTCTTTCAATACCCAGAGAATCATTGCTTTTTTCAAGTTCTTTCAATATCACAGTACCAAAGCACGTAGGGACTGGAACTATATATTTTTGTAATTAATTTCCTTAAGATAATGTTAGAAACATCAGGTTCCTTAAAATATAGATGAATTTCAAGGTGAGTCTGCTAGCAGATGTTATTAATGGCATATGATTTATTGTGACATGAAATCTGATCTGAAACTCATGTTATTAGCTGAGCTTTTTATAAATTATAATTGCCAACTGCTGAAAATATGCAGAAAGACCACTGATAAACTAGCTTCATCTTCAGGGTCTAGAATATCTGCATTTGCTAACTGTCCAATATCTCTAGTCCTGCTGAATGAGTATAATACATTGGGATGTGCAGATCAGGCTTAAGTTCAGATCTTTTTATAGTATAATTCTTTCAGAATGAGAAGAATTGGAGGTAGGAAGAGGAGGTCATACAAAAGAAACGTTTACTGTGGAAATTAAAAAATCCCCAAACACTCCGGTTCATAGTATGTCATTCCATAAACGCTAAACAGATTGTACAGTTAAGAAAAAAGCCCCCCTCTCTGACTGTTAAATATAAAATTTATACTTTCAACATGAAAACAGTAAGAAGGTAGATAATATTCAAACATCATTCTGTACAGCTCTAAGATGACAGCACAAACAGCAAATTTTATCATCCTAAGGTCTATGAAGATTTGCATATACACAAGATTTTCCAGGTCACCCCCATGGAAAACTAAAGAAAGTGTATAGGTAAGCAATGACAAAACATTTGTGTCAATAATTATTTCTAGACATTCCCTTTTTATTCCCAATAAGCTCACATCTTACTTTCCTTTCCCCATATGCCTTTAAATTTTAATAAAGTTTCTGAAATGTTTTTACCCATCACAACTTATGTGCTAAATTACGTAAATAAGATGACACAATATAAGCATTGCATTATGAATATTATCTGCTCAACAAAACAGATATTGAAAGAAGGTGAATTGACAGTACATGTTGTAATACATTTTTAATCTCCATAAAAGCTCTGAGATAACATTGCAAATTCAAAAAGCAACACAAGGAACAGATGCAAAGTCTCATTCCTGACTTTTTTACATATCCAAAGCTGTTTAACGATAAAAGCATTTATGTGTAAAATGGCATTCACTTGCCCTTACTAAGAGTATATATGGAAGAGCCCCCTGTCAATGTACCAGTGTGCGTGTGGGAATGAAACATAAGGATCACCATCTGCAGCTGTCTAATAAGTGTTCTTCAGTGCCTAATGGCAAAGTGTCAATTCAGGGATCCTCAGATACCACAATGCATCATCTTGTCCATGCTAGTCTTCAAGTCAAACATTTCACATGTGAGAACAGTTTATTTATAACGCTATTCATTTCAGTTGAAATACCAGATATAAAACAGTTACATTGCAAGCAGTCTGGGAGCATATACTTAATATAAAATGCACCAATTTCCTCTCTTTTATAAGAAGCCGTATTTATATAATTTATATAATGTGCAAAATTTAACCCCTCACAGAACATACCTTAATAACATGGAAAGAATCTCTTCCTATGCAAATATTTTTAGATTCTTACCTACTGTTGAACTTCTCTGGATGTTTTTCTCTCATGATATGGAATCTGTGGGCAATTGAAGCATCCTAACAGGAAAAAGAAAACCATAAATATATCATGACAGGAAAATTGCAAAACAGAATACCACATCTGTAAACAACGTATATAATTTGTAAGGTGTTTTGTGAACCATCTTTTTCAACGAGAGCAATACTGTTATCACTTGGAAAGTTTAAAAGTACACTGTTCCAAGCATGGGATATATCTGAACTTAATTTATTACAGTTGTTACGGTCTCCATTACTCCTTTTTACAAATCAGACATGATAGTTAAATTTACTGAAAGTGTTGTCAACGTCTGTACAGCAAATATCATCCAGATCTGGTGAAGATTTACAAGAAGATCATTCATACAGTTCTTTTTCATCGGAATACTAAAGAAACTCTATGAAATTTATTCCTTTAGTAAAGCTGAGTGATAGATTCAGCAGTGTTATATACATTGATATTTGCATATGGCTTTCTCTAAAATCTGGTAGAAAATGGAAATAAATGCCAGGAGATGCCCCATTTGCTATATGTCAGGGTGTGAAATCTTGTGGGGGGTAAATGGATTTTTAATATTAAAAAAAAAAGATGTGATAATTAACTTAAGTATATTTTATCAAAATATTGTAATAAGACATTAAATAATATGTATGTGAAATGAAATAGTTGTATCAAATACTTATATGTGCATAACATTTTAAAAAGAATCAAACCATTGTGGTAGTGGGAATTGCTGAAAAAAGAATATGACCTGGAACTGATGTGCTAGAATCAGTTTTCACACTATTTTTATATCTTCTTTGCAGGTATGAAAATAATGTTTTCCTCATTCCAGATCATGTAATATTTATTGCACATATTAATCATTAAAAATTTACAAAATGGGAACTAAGAAAGTAAAAAGTTTTTTCATCTTTTAACGTATGTATTAAATGAGGTGTGAGAGCATGAAATCTACCAACTTTTCAGTCTTGCAGGAGATAGTAAACACAGAGAAATCCATTTTGATCATGTTTTTATAATTATTATCCTAAAACGCTTCATACGTAAGAATATAAATGAGAGTTCAGTTAGTAAGAAATTTAAATTAATTCCAGTTTCCATGTAAATTGTGTTTGACAAAACTTATGAATAAAACTAACACTGCAATCAACTAACATGTATAAGAAAAAAATACACTATTTACCATGGAAATATATTGAGCATTATGGAAATATAAAAACTGAGAATTTGAGAGAAGTGTCAAATTCAGTATGAAGTCTATATCTAGCAACATTTTAAATTATTTTCAAACAATTAGAATTAGCATTTGGGAGAAAAAACAAAATGAAATACTTTGCTTAAATTTTATATTATTGCTGATGCCAAATATGATTAAAATATTTGGATTAAAATAATTTTGATTTAACCTAATCAATGTTAATATAAATTTCACAAAAGCAAACAAGTATTTATTGTAGATATATATGTATCCAATAACATCAAACATGGTTGCAACACTTTATGACTAAAATAGCTTTTTATTTATTAGTATCTTAAATAGGACATGTGCCAGAGAACAGACTGGTCCAAACTTCAGGTTTGGTGTACTAATTCAAGGCTACTTTGACAAAATAAATGTATGAACTTTAATATCATGTCAAAGATAAAATTGTTCAGATAGATTGATAACATTCAAATAAACTTTTAAATTATGAATGAAAAAGCAATAAATAAGTCCCAAGATTTTACACACACTCTACCTACATAATTCTGTTGCATAGTACAGAATTTTTAGGAAAAACTTGTGAACACTGATTAACTAAAATCAGTTAGTGGCATCACTAATTGTACTGACTCCATTGAAATACTCACTTTATTTATGATCTTATGTAGTTTCTAAAAATGCATATAGTTTGTTGCTTTATGTACATTACAACATTATTTATTTATTTTCCTGTTATCTTTAAGAATTGAATTGTCATTTAACATTTGACTGTTCTACAAAAACATGACAGCAAAATTCCCTAGTGAATGAACTGCTTTTAGCCATAAAATGCCCTACTGTTCCGTCCTGTCATCCAAACTGTCACCTGAAACTTTCAGTGCTATATTCTCAAACTGCACTCATCATTACTTTAAATTTATTTTTATGTGCAATGCAATTTTATAAGGCAAATATCCACAAGTATCCAGGTGATCCCACAGTTCTTGGAGATGGATGAAATAAAGCTGACAGTAAACCCCGAGACATCACACTTCTAAACAAATCCTGCCAGCTGAACTAAAATAATAACTCTGTTAACTTTAGAAAGATCTCTCATTCATACTTTATCCCAACATTAGAAAAATATGTTTGTCAGCCAGTTCTGTATGAAAAAGAAATAAAAAGACTACTGTTGTGGTTAACTATTAATTTTCTACACACTGGAGCAAAAGATAAAGACAGACCCAAGACAAAACGAATAAAGGGGTAGTAGCATATTTGACAGAAACTAGGAAACACTAATCAAGGACTAACTGTCTAATGAATGAAATGAAAAGGCTAATGTGCTTACTCATGCATAACAAATGCAAGGCACAAACAAGCTAGGGATCAATGCCCACTGCAGATGGCAAACAGGCAGTTGTTTCCATGCAAGGTTGATTTGATCAAAATTTTCCCCTGCCCGAACATTTTCTGATTCCAAAATGGATCAACCAACTTAATGAGCTGAGAGGTGAAAAAAGTAATACACAAAGCTAATTTTGACAGGCACAACGTAAGACAGGAACATGCCAGACCAATTCCATACAAAAATTGTTGAAAAGCTATTTTTATTATTGGAGACTGTAAACCAAAGTAGTAACTACACACAGATAAGCTTGAAAGTGGGGGAGCTGCTAAGGCTTTCTTCAGTTCACACTGCCCAACTGCTCTTTTGAACCCACAACTGAGTCCAACATACAGAGTCCTTAGATTCGCTAGCACAGGGACCTCTTCCCAACCATAACTCCACGCTCTAGGAAAATCTGAAACTAGCCCATGCTGGTTGCGTGTTAGCAAAATAATCCTTTGCTTTAGGGGAAAAAACGAAGAGAGGAAAAAAAGAAAAACTACACTGAATTTTCCGGTTTTCAAATGCCTATCATCTTCTATTTGTTAAGATAGTAGCACACATTACAGTATAAATAAATGAAAAATAACCTGAAGAATTAAAAGTAAGAGGAACTTGACAGTCGGTAGGAATGCAAGTTCTGTCTCCTAAGAGTTGCAGGAATTACCAGATGCCATCCCTGAATCCTGAGGAACAACCATTAAAACTTTTGTATTTCTGGATGAGGAGAGCAGAGCATCCTTCATTGCGAGCTATTTTGGCTACATTTGAAATAGGATTCATTTCAGCTGACTTCAATCAGCCATTTCAAAAAAGGCATCCAGCCTAACCTGATTAGAGCAAACAACTGTTGTTGGACCAATGGAGAATGAATTTCTTTTTTGTGTCACAAACTATATTAAAATCACCTAATTAACTAGACTGGGAAATAGAACAATATCCACATACGTGGTAAGTTGAATATTGTTTGCATATTGTCACTTTAATATGCTGACCTTTCCTGGTACCTGATATTATGCATGACCAGTAAAATATGAGAAATTATTTTTGTATTTGGTAATAAAACTGCTGTAAAAAAGAAAACCCAGGAGTCAGTAAAGCAAACTTGCATGCTTCATGATATTACCTAGCAAGGTAACAAGGTAGCAGTTTTTTTTAGAAAGGTCATTTGACAGTCAGATACTGGTCTATAATTAATATCACCTGTGGGCATTATTTATTAAATTTTATTAATAAATCGATATGTATGCTAGCCTGAAATATAATTTTCCAGTAGTACTATACCTGAATCTAAATATTTTCTATTTTCAAAAGTAACACACCTTAAGTGCACACAAACATGGCTAAAAATTGCAAGAGCTTTATTATTAATAATAATCTGAGGAGATACAATGCTATCAGGCCTGTTGCAAGGTGAAAGGAGGAGGCAGGTCTCACGGGATCAGTGTAATATGAAACTAGCACATTTCACTATGCCCATGCTTCAGTCACAAATCTCATTTTATACTTGAAGCATTGCAATGTTTGTCACCAAAGCGTCCAAGAATGGAGATTTTTTTTTCAGCAACACTTTTGCATCAAAATCAATGCTGGTGCACAAAGTAATGCTGAATACAGAGCATTTAAAAACAGAGCTAAGTAACTAATTAGACAATTTTGTCTTTCTAAGAATATTACAAGAATATTTGAGTTGTATGCTACTATTCCAAAATACTTCACTTCTTTTTTAAGATATACAATATTTTTACGGTCATTGACATGTCATATGCAATATACGACAATAGCTTAGATGATGACAATTTCTCTGAACTTTCATTTCAGAGTATCACCAATCTAATCTGAAAAAGCTAACACACCCTGTTCTCTTTTGTATGCCTCTCTAGATGGTTTCTGCTCACTGTTTTGAAAGTAGATATGAAGGAATGGGTGTCTGAAGAACAGAAGATGCAGCTTATCCAAGTTTAAATTCTACAAAATTGTAAACAGACTCTTGAAAAATGTACCTCTATATCTCCCAAATATTCAACCTGGACATATGTGCCATGAACATGCAGACATACACACATATTTACACCCTTAATTTGAACCTGTTCAGTGTCTGAAGTAGCTGGACTATCCTTCTTATATCTCAGTCAGGTTTGTTTCAAATCCTGACAGTGAAGATAAGATAGAGAACAGACAGAGCATATCTGAATCTACTCCTAGGAAATGGAAAAAATATTTTAATTGAACTAGGGCATTTCTCAAAGTGACCTGCCAAGAAGAAAAGAAGCTTAAGTTGCTACACCTCTTTAATACCTTATGATTGACTTACACACATATATATTCATCTTTTTAATGGGTATTAGCATTACCGGAAAGCAATCTGAAGCAGTCTTTTCAAAGGAGTAACCTTATACATTGTGAATAACCTTATAGAAAGATTAATGCGTTTAATATATGTCTATCTATAAGCTTGCTGT